GATTACTGAGAAGTGTAACTAAAGCCCCAGTGTAATCAGATTACTGACCATCCTTGTGTGGTCTCCTGACATGAACTCGCAACTCTTGGGGAAATCTCTTCCAGTCTGAAACAACAAACACAGATGTAGTTTCCACGGTAACAGGGTACTGTAGGTTGCCATAGTAACCAGTGTTATTTCTCGGTTACCACTGGTTACCATGGTCACAGACTCAGATTAAGTGTCTCACCAATAATCCAGTTGTTCAGGATGTCGCTCTGTTCGCCCAGGTGATATTTATCTGAGTACCGCTCCACATCTAACAGGAAGTACAGAGGAGACTTTCACAATAAGACTGCAGGTATGTTCTTGTATATTTATTGATTATTGGTGAATTTGTAGGACCTTTCTGTGCCACCATGGGCTGGAGAAAACATGGCAGACGCTTCATGGCTCCTCTGAAGTCCTGCTTCAGGGCCAACAGGTACTCTGCCTCCTCCCCACCTGTCAGGGGGAGGGGCTTCTGCTCCATCACCTGGACAGAAACAACACACTCAAGCACAAGTATCACAAAAGAAAGGGGGCCAAGATGGCGGCCAGAGCCCATGTCTGTATGGGGGCTGAGCACCAAAGATCCTACAATTTAGTGAAACATACGACCTACACCACACTCTATTGGAGGTAACTTATAATAGTGGTGAGCACATTGTGTTTAACTAACAAAGACCTTATGAGGCGGGGTTTTGCTGCAATATAACAACGCTCGCCAAGGTTCAAACCTGAGCTAAGAGCAATTTTATGGAGTCACCAGGAGCAAAGGAGAACCCTCTTATACCATACCATAGCATCTTTATTTAGAGACTTTAAAACACCCTGATATAGGAATGATTATTTTGATGCTTTTATGTCAATTTATACTTATTTTACACTCATTTACATGTAGTTTGAAAACACACTTATACAACGTGTTATTCACATATTAGGGATTGTATGCCCGTTCAAACATATACTTTGTGTGTGTGTTACTTATAATATTTAGACACTCTTTGATGGTTTGCAGAGGGATGGAGGGGTGTGTGTTCCCTCTTTAGGAATGCTTTGTAAAAGTTTAAGGAGTATTTCTGGCTTCAGGGTCTTGGCCCGCCTTGAGGTCACCATGCTCCTTATTGGTAATAAATCACCAGCTCCTCATCCGTTGTTCTGGTAACCATCAAACTTGTTTTTCACTGCTCTCACGCGATCCGGTCAGGGAAAAGGTATAAGAGGAGGTGTGACAGGCAAGGGAATTTTGGAAGTCTTGTGTGGACCAGCGCGCGTGGTGCCATGCGCAATTTTGATGTGATTCTTCTTTACCTGGGTCGAAAACGACTTCCCGGCCAGTGTCACGGTGAGAAGTTCTTTCATATCATTTTGTGTGTTAAGAGTGTACGAGTGTACATGTTTTTGCTTGGCTGTTTTCTGTGGCAGGTTAATAAATGACACTTATTATTCCTAGCAGTAACAGTCTCTGTGTTTTATTTTTCCCTCTTGTCTGAATATCTTGTGCCGATCGTTCACGAACCCTTTTGATAAAGAATTTCATAATACACACCCACAGGACCAAAGTGCTGTTCACATAATAAAACAATCAGACAATAAAGAACAATTCAAATAATTAAAGTCAACATCTCAGATGGGGTCAGAGGTCAGAGAGAAGAGACGGTTTTAAGAAGGATTTAAAAACAGAGAAGAGTCTGATGTTCATTGAAGGTCGTTCCAGTTTAGGAGCTGCAGCAGCAGAAGCACGGTCTCCTCTGAGTTCACACTCAGGAGCAGCTGATCACATGACCTGAGGAGCAGCTGATCACATGACCTGAGGAGCAGCTGATCACATGACCTGAGGGTAGGGCTGAGTACGACCCTCAGTTGTTTTACGGCACCGACAGAACTGCACCGGTCGGTGCACGGATTGAAACGTCACTCTTCTTTCAGTGTCAAGTTTCAGTATTGGCTGTAACGTGTCACGTGGTTTCAGCACGCAGGCAGGTGAAACATAGACATATGACAAACAGACTATGTGTTTACACCTAGAGCTGTATAGAGCTGCTGTACAGCTGTGTGTCTATGGTGCTGGCGACGCACACAGACGGGGTTCACGTGCGCAGCGTGTGTTGTCGAACGTCTTCAATTTACGAGCAGAAAGCTTCTCCGTGTTTGTCTTCAAGGGGGACTGTAGCCTCCCCCTCCTCTCAGCGTTAAAGTCAGCCTGTGAGTGTTAAGCCCCCAGTATACTGCCACATACGTCCATACGCAGAGGTACGCACGTACGTACGCAGAGGTACGAGCGTACCCCCCAAGGCATGTCCGTGCAAAGCTCACATTTTTACGACTGCATACGCGTACGCGGTGTCGCACAATAAACTGTCCGGCGACGGACTGTTTTGTATGCGACACCATTGTATTAAATTCCTCTTCTTCATCCCTGATCTGGCCTTTTCTTTAGTTTTTTTGCCAAGAGGCAGAGATCTCTTCCTCCTCCGTTGATGCCATGACTGAAATGGTGAGAAATGAAGGAATTTGTCACGAGCAAATTAAACTCAGGTCCAGCGTGGCTGCGGGAGGGTCTGGAGATTTCCTGGTGGGCTGGTCTGATGTGTGGGCTGCAGAGCCAGCGCTCTGTTTTTTTTTTTTTTTTAGATCTTTTTATTAACAACATATAAACACAGAACACTGCTGTGGCGGAGGCTGCGAGCGCTAGTTTTTTTTTCTTTTTTCCGACCTGTCAATCAATCCAGTAGGCGTGTCAGCAAATGACCAATCGGCGACCTCAATTTGTCCCAAAGGTAAACGGCCCTCGTCTGTGAAGCTGCTCTGCAGCTGCTCGGGGTGTACGCTAGAGTCTGAAGTCTGAACCCTCTGCGTACAGTACATGCATACGTACGCGTGAACGGACGTACGCGGGAGTATACTGGGGGCTTTAGAGAGCATGAACGACCTGATTCATCATCTCCACGACCGGACTTGTCTTCATCAAAGAACTCAGAGGACGGAGCTGTGTCTGTGTTTCAGCTGGTGAGTTTACGTTTGTTAACGTTACTGCAGCTTAACACGTACATCGCGGTGAATTAAACTAGAATAACACTAACTTTAAGATGTTAGTGTGTACATTTATTTTATCTACATATCTAAACTCAACTAAACAGAAGCTAACTAAAGATTGACAGGAGCAGATGAAGCTTGTAAACGTGCTCATCCATCGGATCAGCTGCTTAAACAGTTCACTAATGTTAATGTTCTCCTCACAGGAGGTTCTGACCTGATGTGAGGAGGACAAAATAAAAGTGAGGTGGGGGGGCCACAGGACAGTCACAAACTTTGTTGTTAAAAGTTTTCTGCCTTTTTCTACAGTGGAGGCTGCATGGTGGAGGTAAGTAAACTGTAAAGGATTTTGTTGACCAGTTAAACCAGTATCTCTCAGCCTAGATAATGGTTTTTGAGTAATAATAACACAACCATGTTATGTTGATGTTTTGTTCTCATGTCAATTAGGGAGATGATCAGAGTCCTAAACCCCAGAGAACCACAGAGAAGATTCAGGAAGAGACACACAGACAGGCCCAGAGTGGCCAATCAGGACGGTCTGGAGATTTCCCGGTGGGCCGGTCTAATTTGTGGGCTGCAGGGTCGACCCTCCTTGTTTTTTAATTTTTTTACAACTTTTTATTAACAACACATAAACGCAGAACACGCTGTCGCTGCTCCTGGGTCACCCCGCCTCCTCCGCAGGGCTGCAGCTCCTCTGTGCGACCTGTCAATCAATCCAGTAGGCGTGTCAGCAAATGACCAATCGGTGACCTCAATTTGTCCCAAAGGTAAACGCCCCTTACCTGAGGCTCTGGATGCTACAGTCAGAGGGGTTCAAGTATCCCACTCGAGGGGTTTGTGAAAAATCACCAGAACAAAATGGTTAAACGGTGTAAGTGGAGAACAGGTAATCCAGACACGTGTTACCCTGAGAGTTTAGAGGGTGGGATACAGTTTATTCTTTTTCAAAAATTAAACGGAGTTTGGAAAACGTAAAAAGCCGGGGACCAACCCCATCAGCTGATCACAAGTTATAAACAGGAAGTAGCTACCACATGTTCATCTCTACGAACGTAACTGCAGGTAAATCCTCCATTTTCTGTAATTACATTGTATGTTTAATGGTTAAATTAAAGTTTAATGCTTAATTCAGGTTATGTTTATTTGTCATATGCAGGTTAACACAAGGTTAGCAGTACAATCAAATATTCAGGATGAGAAGAACTGATTTGACTCACTAAAACAATGAACAAACAAACGAGAAATACTAAAGCATTCAATAAGGGTACAACATAAAGTACCAAAAAGTGAAAAAGTAAATAAAATATTTACAAGGTCCTAAAGAAAAAATAGTAAAAAACAACATGGTAGAATATAATGGTGCAAGTTTTTTATTTTATTTAATTTTTTTTAAAACAGTGCAAGTAGGATGAATTTGTATGAATAAGTATTTCAAGGTAGTAATATAAGCTTAAATTCACATGATGTATACTGCACATAGCTAACATAAACTTCACAGGTTGTGTGACAGATTATTTCACAGGTAGTGAGTAGCATTGAGATGAATTATGATGGTAAGGTAGATACATACATGATACAGCCACATAATGCATTAGCAATAAAAATATTTGGTATCACAAGCTAATATTAGTCATATTAGTTGTCACAGATGTGGCTTGGTGCAAAGTTATTGCCAGTTGTTCAGTGTTATTTATTGAGAGTTCAGTAATCTGACAGCTTGTGGATAATAACTGTCTTTGAGTCTTTGTGTACATGATGACAGACTCCTGTATCGTCTGCCTGAGGGTAGTAGATGGAAGAGTCCTGGTGCTGGGTGGGTGTGGTCCTTAATGATGCTGCATGCTTTACGCAGACATTGGCTGTGGTAGATGTGCTGGATGGTGTGGAGACTGCTACCAGTGATGTCCTCTGCTGTTTGTACCACCTCTGTAGAGCTTTCCAGCTCTGACTGGTGCAGTTCATGTACCACCCTGTGATGCAGCCTGTCAGCAGGCTCTCCATGGTGCATCTATAAAAGTTGGTGAGGATTCTGGTGTTTGTACCAAACTTCTTTAGTCTTCTTAAGAAGTAGTCTTTGTTGGGCTTTCTTGACCACAGTGTCTGTATGTAAAGTCCAGGACAGTTCCTCAGTAATGTGAACACCGAGGAACTTGAAGCTGCTGACCTGCTCCACCTCAGCGTTGTTTATGTAGATGGTGGAGTGCTGACCTCCATGTTGTTTCCTGAAGTCCACTATCATCTCCTTTGTTTTGCTGACTTTTAGAGAGAGGTTCTTTTCAATTCAGTTCAGTTTATTTATATAGCACCAATTCACAACAAAGTTGTCTCAAGACACTTTACAGAAACCATATACATAAAAAAGTCAATTAGTTGAGGATGATGTTAGAGCTATGTTTGGGGTATACTCATGCAAATAAAGAGTACAAGAGTGGACTGAGGACACAGCCTTGAGGTGTGCCGGTGCTGAGGACTAGTGTGGAGGAGAGGTGACTGCCGATTCTCACTGCCTGTGGTCTGTTGGTGAGGAAGTCCAGTATCCAGCAGCAGATGGACTTCTCCAGGCCCAGTGTGGTGAGCTTGGAAACCAGCTTGGAGGGGATCATGGTGCTGAATTCTGAGCTGTAGTCAATGAAGAGCATTCTCACAAACTGTAGGTGTTTACCTTCTCCAGATGGTTGAGAGAGGTGCTTAAAGCTAGTTGTGCTTCTTGTGTGTTTTACATGTAGAAATATGTTGTAACTTCTGGTTGCACAAGTTTAGTCTTTTGCCCCTTTTCCATTAGTACCGGTACGGGCCGACTGGACCCTACTTGGCCCGGTTCTGAGGCTTTTCCATTAGTACCGGTCCTTAGCACCTGTTACTATTTTCAGTACCCTTGGCTCTGTGGTTCTAACCGGTACGAAGAGGTACTAAAACGTGATGTCAGAACACTGTCGGTCACTGATTGGTCGGGGCCGGAGTCGGGGGCGGAGTCACTGGATCCTTCAGAAACGTTTCAAAACAATAATCCGCCATTTGTAATTTCTTGGACTGGAGCAGTGGCTGGACTTATTTTAAAGATTTTAAAAACAATACTGACAACATCTTGGTCTAATGTTGATGTGCTGGCATTTTTTGTGCTTGGTGGCCGACAACATAATTCGCAGCAAGCTGGATGGAGCTCTGCTGGTGTACCCCGATCCTCCCTCCGGAGACTCGGAGCGCCAGACCGGGCAGGGCGTCATCTCCCCGGCTCCAAGTTCAGCTGGTCACCGCGGAAGATCCATCGATGTGCCGACTCGGAGGCTCGGGTTCCGGATACCAGCCTTGTGTGCTCAGAGCTCCGCAGGTCACTGCGAAGCTGGAGATGGGGACTCGCAGATGGCCGTGGCCAGACCCTGGCCGCACGTAATCATGAAGGCTGAATCCCGATCCCGCCCGGCAGTCAGGCGGACTGGACAGTCTGGGACGGACGGTGGAAGAGATTTTTAAATAAAATAATATTTTGTTTTTATACAAAAAATGTTTTAAAAAAATGCTGAAGCGATTTAAAAATGATTATTATTTTTTTACACGTAAAATGTTTTTTAAAATCGCTTCCACTGTTCGTCTCAGACCCGTCTCTGTCCGCCTGTCTGCGCGGGTCGGACCTTCATGATTACGCTCGGCTGGGGTCTTGGAACAGCCTCTGGAGTGACCAGCTGAACTGGAGCTGGGAGGATGAGCCTGCCCGTCCTGGCTCCGGAGGAGAGGATCGTGTTTATGACCAGCTCTGCTGGTCATAAAAAAATAATATATATATATATTTTAGCGTTGAAGATTAAAAAAAATAATAAACGGTGCCAGCTTCATCATGAAATCCTGTTTTCACTTTAATGACTGTTAACTCAGCTGAAAATCATAAAAAGACACAAAACTATTGGATCTCAGGAATATTTCCCTCAAACATGTTTAAAGAAAAGAGATGACCTTCAGTTCAACTTTATTTTAACTCATAAATGTACAAATCACAAAACAAGAACTTTAAAGCAAAGCTAAAAATAAAATGTAAATATGTGAACAAGAAAGAAAACCACACATTTAAAATGAACATTAAAAGTAGACACAATGAGTGCAAATACATCAAATGATGATGAAAACCTATAAATATTTAAATCTAATGTTTTTGTAGAATCTGGTTCATCAGAGATTTAATTTATATACAT